TGATCTCAAAGCCAAGATTAAGCAGAAATTTCACAACCGGCATGTTACATGCCGGTTGTGAAATCTTGGCTTTGAGATCAATTACAGGGATACTGCCAGGAGTTGCCGCGCGCTGCGGCCCAGAAGAGAGGTGTCTGTCCATGAACGTCTTCCTCCTCCAAGTTCACCCCCATCGCCACGCACTGCTTCGCCAATAGTTCCGAACCTCGACGGCGTCGCGCTGCGACAAAAAACAGAAAATTTTGTTGCAGAGCCGTATGGCGCCATGACATATCTGCTGTTGAAAGGACTTTCTTGGCTTCTGCATATTCGCTGTCTCGCACAATCTCGAAGAGCCGATCTCGGGCAGCATTGGACGCTTCGGCTTCCTCCGTCATTGCGACGAAACGCACCACTTGGTTATTGCCCGGCCAGTTTTGAGCCCAAGCATCTTGCGAAGAAGACCAGGTGAGTAGAGACATGGGCCAGAAGAATATGCAGCATGTCATCTGCAAAGCCACCCTAAACCCTAAACCCCTAAACCCTAAACCCTAAACCCTGCAAAGCTCAAAGAGGCTCTCAACTCTTGACAAACCCAGTGGCCTCTGGAGGGTCCGCTGGAGCCGGGCTCCATGGCGCTCTCGGTTACGATCCGCTGTTGCCTACGGCTGGGTGCTAGCAATACGCATAGGCCCCATAGTAGTTCCTTTTTGGGATTACCTTATAGGATTCTATATATGAACCCAAAAAGGAACTACTTTAGGGCCTATATGGGTAACAACTAAGAGAATATAATCCTGACAGTAGTAAATAGTGGTCAGTATTCGGATTCAGAACAAGTAATGCTGACTCTTGCAGCAGTAGTCTACGAGTTTTGCAGAAGTTTCGTGAGCCGTGGTTTCAGCTCCTCTCACTCAGATGGCTGCTACTGGTTCTGTGGTCATGTCTTGGTTTAACCTCTGACGGGCCTTTCTAAGCCTCCTATAGATTTTCGAGTCTGCAAAGTGGAACAGCCCAGGTTCTTCGCCCGGATGCCAGCTTTGTCGATGCAGCAACTGAGTTCGCGCACATGCTCCTGTGCAGCCCTTACATGATGCACACGCTTCGCAGCTCCTTCTACTACTCCAGTGAAACCGATGAATTGCAGCTGCCAGAGCCAGGGACCTTCAACCCAACGTCTCTTCAACCATAAGCCCCTTGCGAGTAGGATAACTACCCATAACACCGTCTGTTCTGAAACTACAAACGTTTGGCGCGTGCAAAGGGTGACACCTGGAAAGCAGTCAGTTTGACGCCTTCGCATTACCGGGAGCTCTTGCCCTATTGAGGCATGAGGCCACCCAAAGTGCGCTGAGTCGGATTCGCATCAGCGCACCCATGCGCACGAGGTCCACCAATTCTTTCATCCTGCGCAGGAGGCTCAGCCAAAGGTGCAAGGAAAACAATGTCCGTGTCCACGCAACCGACCTTGACAAGTCCTTCAAGCTTCAAATCCACTAATTAACCCCTAAACCCTAAACCCTATAACTCCTGTTTTGGCCCGGCGCAGGCTCTTCACCAGAGCCCAGATCTGGGACTTTGCCTGGTTCGGCTTTTCAGCATCGGGGACATGCAGCTGATTTTCGAGCTGTTTAGGGTTGTGGAAACTGTAGGCTTTGGTTTAGGGTCTACGGCTTGGGGTTTACCACACCCAGAACCCACCGTGCGACGGACCAAATGGTAGATTTAGAAGTACGGGCCTTCCCTGTCAGACACCTACTCAGAGCTTCTGTTGTCGCGACAGCAAGTAACCTCCTCTGGTGAAACAAGCCGATACTAGACCCTCTTCCCCAAAGCCCCAACATACGAATGGGATCCTGAAATTCAGCATAGCTTTAAATGCCAGCTGTCACAGGCAAAGATCTGCGAGTATTTCTCTGGCCTCCTCCACAGGAACTTCGTCCACAGGGTAGGTGGTACCTGCAGTTCTTCTAAATTTCAAGTCTGATAAAACTGACAATTTCAACATGACTCTGCAAGACTTGCTACGATCAATATGTCTGAATATTGCACTTGTGGCCATTGCGGCTTCCTTTGCTGTGTCCGTGCCATCACCACCATACTTTGTTTATACTGGTTGTTGACTAGCATTGCCACGCTTGCCTGTCTCACTACAGCGGCT